AACCAAATGCAAAGCTCAGGACTCTTCAGCCAACATGTCATTAAAAACGATCATAAGCCACAATTAAAAAAAAAAAAAGTTGTCAAAGATCTCCTAGAAAAAATATCTGTAATTCCTATATTATCTTATAGATAAAGATGTACTTATAGATAAAGACCTGAAAACATCTGTTATCTTATCAATTGGAAGTAAAACACATGAAACTGGGGGAGGGGAGGGAAGAGGGGGTTAAGTGATCAACAAACACATCAAGCCACCCCAGGCATCAGGAGTGGTTCCTTTCCTTTATTTTTCATTCTTCTTTGCATGTGCTTTCTTATCTAGAGATCTGCATATAACGTCTCCTACGTGGAATCCCACAGAGGCAAAAAAAAAAAAAAAAAATATGAGTCAGCTAAGTTCTGATAACTGAAGCCGTATCTTCTCGTGAAGCCACCCCAGGGTAAGAACCCACACGATGAAGTCAGTTAATGCTGGAAGTCATTCCTCCATCTGCTTACCACGTGTGTTGGTAGCCATGTCGGCCACTTTCTGAAAGGCGTCCAAGAAGGCAGCTGCTGCTACTACTGTCGTCCTGAAAATGCAAACAGATAACAAAAGCATGAGGAATGGCTCACACTAGCAAATTCATTACAGCGGAAGGGATAAAACCTCTGCTAAGGAGAGAAGGTCAACTTCCCAGAGAGACAATTCAACTGGATTTGGACAACCATTGACTTCCTGGCCCCATTTTTCTCTTAGAAAGCATTTTGTCCTTCTTATATTAGCATGCTACCCAATAATGTCCAGCTCACTCAGTACTATTCAATAAATGCTAGTAGTTTTTCCCATTCCATTTCACTTGATTCTTTAAAATTATTACCAGCTCAATTTTGACAAAGGAGGAAAAGACAGGTGTGGCTACCTAAAAGAAAAGTATCATTAAAAAACTGAAGTGCTACAGATGAAATTAATTCTAGAGTAGAAAATCTATCTATCTATCTATCTATCTATCTATCTATCTATATGGGAAAGAAGTCTTGGAGAGAGTCCATCTAGGCCCAAGAATTCATTTTAGAGATGGGATAACTGAGATTACAAAATGCAAAGTGACCTTCAAGATCAATTGTTCAGGCAGAATTGGGACTAGTACTATTTACCATCAAGTCGATTCCAATTCATGGCGACCTCGTGTATCAGAACAGAACTGTGCTCCATAGTTTTCAATGGCTGATTTTTCAGGAAGTAATCATCAGGCCTTTCTTCTGAAGTGCTCCTGGGTGGACTCAAACCTCCAACCTTTTGGTGAGCAGCCCAGTGCATTAACCGTTTGTACCACCCAGGGACTTCACGAGCTGGGACTAGCATCTCAGTAGTGAGTCACAGTCCTGTGCTCATCCCATCACAAGATCCTACATACGTGACTTTTCCTCCAAATCCTAATCATGATAAAACTGAGATACTATTTTTTCAACCTTAGGATGCTACTTCAACTGTACATTCTTAATTCCTAAAAGCAGAGAACGGGGAGAAGTTACCATACTCGTTTTATGTCTAGAAATTATTTTGAATTCGTAACATCTTCTGAGCACTACAAGATACCTTGAGCACTCTGTGGTCCACCAGTTCCCAGAGTCTTGATGCAAGATGTGATTCAATGAAGAGTTATCAAAATTCCACACCAGGACCACGGAGCCCAAGCAAACAAGCCCCAGAACATGCATGTAAGGACTTTACAATCAAGCTTACAGCTTGATGTGAATTTTCAAGTATGTCACATATGAATCCAGTCTTTTATCGAGCATTCCTATGAATCCAAAGTTGCTAAATAAAGAAGATGAGAAGA